ATGATGTGACATCAAAAGAGACCATTGTTTCATCAGTCTCCATGATGACATCCCTCACCTTATCCACAAAGTCCATGGTGTTCTGTATGTGGTGTTCTGAGCTGCCAACTACAGGGATGAGTACAGATGCCAGATATTTGGAAACATTGTAAGTGACAGAGTTAATCATGCTAACAATAGGTCTTAAAGGTACACCTTGTTTGTGGATTTTAGGTAAACCATACAGACTAGGTGTGGCCTCCCCTGGGTACAGTCTGTGGTACAGAAAACGGTCAATAGCCTTGTCCTGCTCCAAAATTTTCAGGCAATCTATTAACTTTTTCTTGTAACCACTTCCTGGATCTCTTTTCAGAGGTTCATAAGTGGTTAAGTCACTAAGGAGTGTCATAACTTTCTCATGATAGTCTTTCTGGTTCAAAATCACTGTACACCTTCCTTTGTCTGCTGGGAGAATGATGATGTTTTTGTCCTTGCTAAGAGTGGTGAGTGCATCCGTCTCCTCTCTACTGATGTTGGAAGGTGGTGGTTTGGAATTGCTGAGGCAGGAAGAAACTTTGATTCTGAGCTGTTCTGCTTCAGCCTCTTTCATTTTGTTGTTGCGGATGGCTGATTCTGTTGCTGTGATCATCTCCACCAGAGAAGATCAACATCATCAGGCCAGGATTCTGCGGTCTACACTCATCTCCAGGCCAGCGGTCACTCTTTCAAGGATGAAGATGTTCACATCCTGGACAGAGAGGAACGATGGTTTGAGAGAGGAGTAAAGGAGGCCATCTTTGTGAAAAGAAATCGTCCATCATTAAACAGGGGTGGAGGCCTCCGGGTTCAACTGTCCCCCTCTTACAATGCTGTGATTGCTAGTATCACTCAGCCCTCTGTGAATAGTAAACAGCCATCAGTGTGCTAATGATCCATTGTTAGGCTGATGGTCCTTCTTGAGCATGTGATCAGCTGGTTTTGGTTGTCAGCAGCAATCTGGTTGATCCACTCTGAGATGGTGCTATTTAAGAGACGGAGCTGAAAACAGCACCTCAGACTGAGGAAGTCTCTTGGATGAGAGACGAAACGTTTCTAGATTTTTTTGCTTTTTTTTTTTTTTGAATGTCCAGAGGACCAGATTGAACTTTTTTGGATTGCCAGTGACCTCTTCTTTTTAGCCGTGTGCCACTGCTGCTTCTCTGTGGTCTGCAGACTCAGGAGCTGCTGGGTTAGGCAGCTCAGACAAACATCTGTCCTGATAGATGAGCAGAGACTCCACCTCCAAGATGACTTCTTGTTTTAGTGCATCCATTTTCTCACTCAGGGTGGACTTGGCCCTGAATCGTGGCAATGTCCAACAGATCACTGGGTCTGAATGGGTCTGCTAACTAATTGTTGAGGTAACCCACAACGCTGATCTCGATGCATTTACACAGCTCATTATCCTCCTGTCCAGGTGCCAGGAGACGAGTGTTCATCAGGTGTAGCTCAGGTCTGACACGACAGGCCATGCCATGAAAAGATAACATACATTATCACGAATGTGTGAATATTTAAAACTAGTATTTTTAATCAGTTCAATAAGGAGGTTGATTTTCCCCAAGGAACATGAATAGTCCTAAAGTTAAAGGGTTCAAACCGTCTTATTCAAATGTTCACAATATGATGTTTCATGTCGATCAGATTTCATGATCTTGTCTGTAGTTACAGAAAACAAAGTGAAGTTTTTGAGCTGCATGCATTCAGCTGGGACTGCTGCAAGATAAAGAATAAAGATCAATTCATTGTGAAATTATTCTTTATTAGATTATTGAAAATGTATCTTATCTCACGCTACAAATTGATTGACATCTGCTGCTGATTATGATTCATAACCGTTTTCATGTCTGTGATGCTGGGAAGACATTTTCACCAGTGATCAGAGTTTAAACAGTCTGCCTTCACCAGCACTTCACCAAACAGAAGATCTTTGTGTTGATGTTGGAAATGACTCCAGCCTCCTACTCAAAAGTTATTGAGCAGGCTGAATAAAAGTGTTTATTTGTCAAATTATTTGTAAACATCTTTCTTACCTATGATGGGGAAATACTTGTGTATGTTCTGTGTCAAGTTTCCATCCATTATTTGCCAGTGGAAGATGTCCTGAAACAGCACAGATACCTGTTCAGATAAGGAGATAACGTTTCCCTAAAACTAAAACATGTTTTAATGCTCCTACCATTTGTAGTTTGATGTTTGGCTTTCCAACCTTCTCCAGTATTGCAGCTGCTGCAGAGTAACAAAAGAAATCAGAAATTATAGCCATGAAGCTTTTAGATCTTGTGTTTAAGAAACTTAATTGTGAAACTCAGGAGGATTTTCTCCAAACACAACATCCTGGTCCATTTCAAACCTAACAGGATTCTCAGAAAGAGGCTGGTCCACCTTGAGGACAGAACCCCCAAATCCAAACTGAGCTGTCTGCAGGAAGGTTCTCTATGCTGGATTAAACACCTCTCCACAGATGCATGGTCCAACACAGGAGAGCAGCTCTTCAGGACTAAACCCAGCTACACCTCCAGGATGAGGGCCACTGTGCTGAGGACCAACATGTCCATACAGGTCCTTCTCAAAAAATTAGCATATTGTGATAAAGGTCATTATTTTCCATAATGTAATGATAAAAATGAAACTTACATATATTTCAGATTCATTGCACACCAACTGAAATATTGCAGGTCTTTAATTGTTTTAATACTGATGATTATGGCATACAGCTCATGAAAACCCAAAATGCCTGTCCCAAAAAAATAGCATATTTCATCCCACCAATGAAAGACAAGTGTTTTTAATTCAAAAAACGCCAACCTTCAAATAATCATGTTCAGTTATGCACTCAATACTTGGTCAGGAATCCTTTTGCATGAATGACTGCTTCAATGCAGCGTGGCATGGAGGCAATCAGCCTGTGGCACGGCTGAGGTGTTATGGAGGCCCAGGATGCTTCGATAGCGGCCTTAAGCTCATCCATGATTACCAGGAAGTCATTGATCGCTATCTTCATCTTCCTCCTGCAGAGGATTTTTTTAAAAACTATCCACTGGCAAACTGGAGCAGAAGTTGCTCTTTGCATGCTGCCAGTTTTAATAAACAATTTCTTGCCACCAGTCATCCTCCCACCGAACTTCGAGTGTCACTTTAATACACGATTCACACTGATATCGAGTGTCTGCAAATACTTTGTTATGCCCCCAGGGAGGGACACAAGTTCCTCCTCCTCGTTCTCTCCTCCACTCATTTCATTGGTCCACTGTGACCTGTCTGGTAATTTCATAGGTCAGATATATATTTTTTAACCTTTATTTATACAGATAGTCTCATTGAGGCACAAGGACCCACCCCCCAGGAGAGACATGTATTGGGCAGCTATGTAAGCACTGGGGTGTGACAAGCCTAAATGTTTTGGTGGCAGGAAACTCGTTAGCCCGTCAAAAAACATTAGCTGCAGCATTGTATAAGCCACGGGGTTCAAAGTGTGTGGAAAAAGTAGCGGCTTATAGTCCGGAAATTACAGTACGTATGTTTTTTAAATTACATAGGTTTAAGAGTTTAGAACATTGCAAGACTGTGGGAAGGGTTTATAAAGCCTTAAAATATATAAATACTATACTTTGTGGTTTTTCACCTATCGTGGTGGTGTGTGGAACGTAACCCCTGCGATAATCGAGGGACTACTGTAGATGTGAATCATCAGTGATCTGACTACATGTTAGTGTTAAACCTGCGGCAGACTCAGAGACACAGATTACCCTGATGAGGAGAGTCCAGGAAGTATCTGGGGTCGGTGATCCTGGTGTTGATGGGCTCAATCAGTCCAGTGATCCCCTCCTGGCAGAACATTCACATTAGAACTGAGAAGGCTGCAGCATGCTGCCATGTATTGTTGGGATATTTCCAGAAAAAATAATCCTGTCAAACCTGTTTTGCTCATGTTTATAGGAGCATACAGTAACTCTGTGCTTGTCTCTGTTAGTAAAATATCTCATGACAGATTTGATTATCCCTTCGTGCGCAGCGCACCACTGAAAACTTTAGTCCGTGCCAACCGGCTGTGTGGGCCCCACCCCCGGTCCGTATAAATTACAGTGAGACTGGGCAATCGGCTCCCAAATAGCTTTTTTTTATTCAGCCATTTAGGAACCAGTGAGGCCCAACGCTTAAAGGGCTACGCCTATACTCATAGAATCTGGGGTTAGAGTACGTAACCACTGTTCAACGTTTTTGTATAGGCATCGCCCTTTAAGGCTATCGCTAGTGGGTTAAAGGCGAAGCAGGATGTAGTCTATGCCTCACTGGGTCCATACAGACACAACACAACATGAAGCACCTGCTTGCACAAAAAAAAAAAAACATTTCATCACTCGGCCTTCTGTGTGATGAAATGCTCCATGCGCAGGAGCGCACCAGAGAAAAGATCTCTGGTGAGGAAAAAGGCTGAGATAACAGACCTGCTGCTGTGAATAGGAACAACGGAGGATACGAATTGTAACAGTGTAACGATAAACAGAGCAGGCCAACAGCTCCTCAGGATGAACCGATTAATAACGATAAAATCAGCAGTCATGAACTTGTGACTGATAATAAATATCTCACACTGCGACTGCATGCAGGCAGGTGTGAGCTCAAAAGTGAAGCTCCATGAAACAAATAATAATCATTCTGTCAGAACCCTGAGAACAGAATGGGTCATGGAGAAAGTAGAAACATCACGTAGATAAAACGAATAAATGAACATGGCGATGACCAGGCAGCCGCCATACAAATATTCTCCACTGTCATCCCTCCATGCAGAGCCATGGAGGATGAAAACCTTCTGGTGGAATGTGCTGAGATTCTCTGGAGGATCCAGTCTAGATGAACTGTAAACTTCAGAAATAGCCTCACACAACCAGTGTGAGAGGCGTTGGGTGGATAGAGGACGTCCTGAAGAGCTGTCCCAGTAAGGCACGAACAGACGCTGAGAGCGGCGCAGTGCGGCCGTGTGCGCCACGTAACACGAAAATGCGCCCACGGAACAGAGGAGGTGAGATGTTGCTTCCTCTTCAGAATTATGAGGAAAAGGATAAAACCCATCCAAGATTATAACTCTCAATCTGAATGAGCTTGTGATGCTTTTCAGAGCAGGGTTAAAACGCAGTACAGCTGAACTGCCGTCAGCTTGAATTCTGAGACATGAGAGAGCAACAGAGAGAGCAAACAAAGACTAACTCTCTTTGCCGACGTCAGAACTAATAGCAGGGCTGTTTTAATGACAGAATTTAAGTGAAAACCTGATCTAAAAGCTCAGAATGAGCTTTGATCAGAGCGTGCAGGACCATCATTAGGTCTCACTGTGGAGCTAGTGGACGTGACACTGGTCTGTGTCTCCGTACACCTTTCAGGAAACGCTTCATCAACGGGTGATTAAAAACTGTTCTGTCACCGAAGCCCTCGTGACAGAAAGAAATAGCTGCAGCATAAGTTTTAATTGTGCTGAACTCTAAATTTCTGTCCGTCAGTTGTTGTAGAAAGGACAGCATGCCACCTAGTGGCCATGAGATGGCCTCCACGCCTTTCTCTGCGCACCGGCTCTGAAAAACTGTCCACTTGATGTGTACAGCGTTGTGGTGGAAGCGGCTTGTGCGCCCTGAACGTACGCACCACATCCTGTGGGAGGCCCATCTTTTTCTAAATGGATCCGTTCAGCAGCCAGACCCAAAGGTACTGACCTAATGCTGGGTAACTCCTGATCACTCTTCCTGCCTGGAGGAGAGCGTCCTCCCTCCACGGCAGTTTACACGGCCGACCCGATATCAGTCGCAGCAGATTCGGGAACCACGGAGCGCTTATGTGCTCGGAAGCTACGAGGATGACTGACGGTTCTTCCTCCCGGACTCGGTCCAGGGTCCGTGATATCAGCAGGACTGGAGGGAATGCATAAAGGAGCATTTTTGGCCTTGGGCTGTGAGCGAAGGCGTCCACTCCTAAAGGTGGGTCGTCTCGTGGGCTCAGTGAGAACCATAATTGACACTGGGCATTCTCCCGTGTGGCAGCTCGGGATGGAGGCTCCAGTCTCTGTGGCGGGGACCGCCCCTCGACATTATGTCCGCTCCCCTGTTCAGGACGCCGGGAATGTACACAGCTCTGATGGAGAGCAGGTTTTTGTGTGTCCAACACAGCAGCTGTCTCGCGATGCGTAACGGTTGGGCTGAGCGTACACCTCCCTGACGGTTTATAACCCACTAGCGATAGCCTTAAAGGGCTGCACCTATACTCATAGAATCTGGGGTTACAGTACGTAATCAACGTCTGTTTATTTAGAGGTCACGCTGAGGTGACTAGAAGGTCCGACTGGAGGTTGTTTGTACAAACCAGATTCCAAAAAAGTTGGGACACTAAACAAATTGTGAATAAAAACTGAATGCAATGATGTGGAGTTGCCAAATGTCAATATTTTATTTGTAATATAACATAGATGACAGCTCAAAAGTTTAATCTGAGTAACTGTAACATTTTAAAGGAAAAATATGTTGATTCAAAATTTCACAGTGTCAACAAATTCCCCAAAATTGGGACAAGTAGCAATACGTGGCTGGAAAAAGGAAACTGAGCATCTAACAAATAGCTGGAAGACCAATTAACACTAATAAGGTCAATTGACAACATGATTGGGTATAAAAAGAGCTTCTCAGAGTGTCAGTGTCTCTCAGAAGCCTGCATCACTGATGGTATGGGGTTGCATGAGCGCTTGTGGCATGGGCAGCTTGCATGTCTGGAAAGGCACCATTAATGCAGAGAACTATGTTCAGGTTCTAGAACAACATATTCTCCCATCTAGACGTCATCTCTTTCAGGGAAGACCCTGCATTTTTCAACACGATAATGCCAGACCACATTCTGCAGCAATCACAACATCATGGCTACGTAGGAGAAGGAGCCAGGTACTGAAATGGCCAGCCTGCAGTCCAGATCTTTCACCTATAGAGAACATTTGGCGCATCATAAAGAGGAAGGTGCGACAAAGAAGGCCCAAGACGATTGAACAGTTAGGCCTGTATCAGACATGAATGGGAGAGCATTCCTATTTCTAAACTTGAGAAACTGGTCTCCTCTGTCCCCAGACGTCTGTTGAGTGTTTTAAGAAGAAGGGGGGATGCCACACAGTGGTAAAAATGGACTTGTCCCAACTTTTTTGGGATTTGTTGATGCCATGAAATTTGGAAACAACAAGATTTTTTTCCTTAAAATGATACATTCTCTCAGTTTAAACTTTTGATCTGTGATTTGTGTTCTATTCTGAATAAAATATTAGATGTTGGCACCTCCACATCATTGCATTCAGTTTTTATTCACAATTTGTTTAGAGTCCCAACTTTTTTGGAATCCGGTTTGTAAAAGAACCTCTTGAGATCAGGGTCAAAGAGACTGAATAGAGACGGGTCTTAAAGTTCGTATGCAGGGGGGGTGAGGTGCAGGGGAGGGGGTGAGGTGCCAGAGTTAAGGTCCAAACTCCAGAATAAACGTCCAGTTCACCTCACAAATGAATCCTATGCTTTGGGTCCCCGCAGCAGGGGACACCATGGACAAGCTGCAGGTCCAACCCTGGGACACAAAACACACCGAGTTCCTTTGAAAAAGTGATAAAATGGTTCAAACTGTGAACTTTAAGAGCCCAAGTTAACTCCAGTAGTTTGAAAACAGATTGTTACCAGTGTTTGCTGGTTAGTTGTGGTGTCCATCCTGAGTGGGGCTGGCTCCAAAAGTTTATCAGATGTTAATCCAGTGGTTATAATCTGAGCTAAAATCTGTCCAAATTTGTTCAAATCTGTCAGTGTCAGTTCAAATCCTTCAGTGATGCGCTGCACGCGAAGGGATAAACCCACTAGCGATAGCCTTAAAGGGCAAAGCCTATACGAAATAGAAGGGGCCTTTGTGTCGTGAAGCGAGGTAGTAACTTAGTGATGAAGGGATGACATCTGGTCTGTGTGACCGCTTGGTTTCAAGATAAACAAGAAAAATCAGATTTATCACTGAGAAGATTGAAGACACACGACAACGTTGTTCAGTGACTTCCTGTTCCTCACTGACTCAAATGACTAAATGAATGAATGAACAGACGCCATTTTTATTCTGTCCAAATAATTCAGATTTTCTTCTGAAGAATTACTCACCTGGTCAGTAAGTAGTTTAGACGGCAGTCCAAGTTTAACTTGAGGACTTTGTGTCTCCAACATGTTTTCAGGTGTGGAAGGAACATTTTCAGTCTGAAACTGTAAAGTGTGTTGAACAGTCACTTACCTTGGAGAGGATATCTGCAGCATAGATCAGGTTCTGCACAAACACAGCTTCCATTTCTTGAGCAACCGTGTGTCTGTGGGAGTCCACAGGAACCCTCCCTGCCATCAGGTGAATCCTGCAGAGGGAACACAGCGACCAATCATAAACCAATAAATAAATAAATAAATAAATAAGAGACTGCGTCCAGCAATACAGCATGTTTCTTTCACCTGCTTCCTTGTGCAGAGGTTGCCACAGCGAGCACACTTCATGAAAGATTTTGTGATTTTTTTACACCAGACACGCTCAAGACAGTATTTTGCAATGCATTATGGTATAGTTATATTCATGCCTACTTCCAGTTCGTTGAATGACAGAAGTCTAAACGGTGTTAATATCTTAGCTACATTTCAGCTGCTCTCTGCAGTGAGCCTGACACCTGGCAACATTACACACTGAGAACATTTAGCTATCACAACGTAAAATACCAGAAAAAAAAAAGAAAAAAAAAACGTTTTTATAAGTTTGTATTTAGAACTAGAATTCTATAAAAACAGGACACAAAGACCAGACACTACATATGTTCAACATGCATAAACATCATCCTTCGTTAAAAAACAAAACAAATTTTCCTGCAGAACTTTCTAAGCTGCTTGTCTTGATCAGAGGACTTCAGATTAAATTAAGCAAGGTTCACCTCAAGAAATCTTTCTTTAGCAAACGTCTGTGTTTAAATTGTGTTTTAGTGACGGCCATGTTGTTCACTGGTCAGAAAAGCCCCCCTGCTGCTAGCTCAAAGTGGCCCATGGGCCACCAGTTGATCATCACATTTGGAGCAGGTTTTGTGGCTCCGGGCTTTTTTTTATTTAATGAGTGAAGGAGCAGAAACAGCTCTTTGATCAAAAAGGTTCCAGACTTGGTCTAGAGATAATACACAAGAATTTTTACACCGATTGGGTCTGAGCCTTTGGAAGAGATCATGTTGAAACTAAGTTTTTTCACATTTTGCTCATTTGCATTAACAATGTCATAAAAAAACTTAAATTAAGTGAAAATTTGCCTTTCCAATTTAAAACAATATTCAAGTTTATTTCACTTAATAAAAGAGACACTCAGAGTTTTGTCACGCCCACCAGCTTTGTTACTTTATTTACATATTAGTCATATAAGTAGTGGTTTTCACTCGTGTTTGGAAAGTGCAAAAAAAGTACTGAGGTGACATCTCACCGTTTACACTTCAAGGCTTTTGCATATTTTACAGCCAGATCCAGACCCAGTCTGAAGTCCACTTCTCTCCCAGGAACTGCTCCCAGACCCAGATCCCCCGCTCTGACGTTTCCTGTACAGAACATCAAAAGAGCATCGTCAGAACCTCCTCAGAACATCAGTGTTCCCTGCTGACCGCCTCCTGGATCAAACTCAGGTCTGAACCCAGTCTACACAACACGCACACCTTCAGGGTCCAGTCTGCTTGCTGCTCTTCAGGACAGAAGTTTGGAGCATTTCTATCTGTAGTTACTAGAGAGGGAACGGAAGGCAGAAGTTGAAGCCACCGAGAAGCAGCGCCCTCTAGTGGGTCAGGAAGAAGACGTCTGTGTAGGAAGACTTTCTGTTTCATTCAGATCTGTGCTGTAGGACAAGAAGCACGTGGGGTAGACTGTGTGAACGCCTCTCAGGTCCTACCACACCAAGGTTTAGCTGCAACACTCACTGAGTGACGGACTCTTTGTGGATTTAATCTAAAAAAGCTGTGGTGAGCAGCGACCATCTTGAATTAATCTGGCTTGTGTTGGGATCAGTCTCAGCTACGACCACACCAAGTTTTAAGGTGATACCTGCTCATTTGACTCAGGTGCCTGTTTGTGTGTTTGCAAAGTTCACTTAGGTGTGGCGGCCATCTTGAATTGGACTGACTCCAACAATTAAATCATTTATATATAATGTTCATTCATTCAATTATCCTTTACTGGGTTTCTTTTAAATCTTTTCTTCAAGGTTCAAGGTTCTTTATTGTCATTCACATCACATGTGGTACATGAGGCGGAACGAAATTGTGTACTCAAGGTTACATCCAAAAAATATAAAGCATAAAAAGAAACAATATACAAGGATCTAGATATACGCTAAACAATAATATTGTAATATTACTTGGTGTATGTTGCTGACACAAGTAAAACACGCATGTTGTGTACCGGGCGGGGTGTTGATGAGCACCATCTCCACTCCTGCAGCCTCTCTGGTTCTCTGCAGCTCCGGCAGGTCGGAGTCGTAGAGCCAGCCGGCCTCCACAGCCTTAAAGCCGGCGGCAGCAGCCGCGGAGATCCGCTGGCTGAAGTCCGGGAGCTCGGTGAAGAGCCAGGAAAGGTTCGCACAGAACTTAAGTCCAGACATACTGAAAAAGACCCGTGGAGGACAACGACCCCGGCTTTTGTTTACACTTTCATATTGCGGAACAACTTCTTCTTCTACGCTTCAGGAGCGGTTATCAAAGCGACTGAATGTGGCGCTGCCGCCACCTGCTGGACTGGAGGGCGAGAGCCGCCCAGACACGTGTGTCTACTTCACAATATCTCATCATGAGACAGTGGACGGATTTTAATGAAACTTTCAGGAAATAATAACTGGATGTTCCTCTACAAATAAACATTTTTTAAAGCCAGTCTAATTCAATATGGCTGCCACAGAATTCACAAAACACAAAACTGGCTACAATGTGTCAGCTGGAGTCATTCACAGCACAAACTGATGGTGTTTATTTTTAACTATCTCAGAGCTCTGCTGTTCCATCTGACTTATTTTGTGTTGTGGGTCAGGAAACTTTTCCTGCCATCTGGCAGCAGAAGCACCTTGAGGAAAGCTCTGCTCCGTCTTATTTTGTCTGTTTTTGGTCAGCATCCATCCCTCTGGGAGCCAGATCCTGGGGAAGACCATCTGCTGGCCTGTTGGAGGGTTAGCTGAACTGGCAGAGGTTACATGGAGGAACCAAACACGCACTCCATACATTACTGGATGTAGCAACACATTCCTGATCCATGTTGGGACAGCCCACGGTGTACATGTGCTCTCAGACAGAAGTAAAGAACATGTTTGATCATTCTACAATCAGAACAGGATCAGTCCAGCTGATAGTAACACAGCTGATAATGGATTATTTACGCCGCTAAGAGCAGCATGTTCACTAAGGTTCACAAAATGCATGTTTGTTTGCGTGTCCTCCTTCAGCCAGACAAGCCAGCTCCCGAGCCTGGGTCTGGTTCTGGTTCTGCCAGAGGTTTCTTCCTGTTCACAGGGAGTTGCTCCTTTCTACTATGTTCTGCTCAGAAGGAGAAATTGTGTCAAAGTAAAGATAATTAGTGTTTTGTAAAATACTGAATGTGAATCTGGAGATAACAGGACTCCATTTACGGAGAAGTGTGGCACAGTGTTGCACTTGTTAGAGCTGCCACTTCTCAGCGACTCTCCCTGTGTCCCTGTGTCTCTATGGGTCCCTGCGATGGACTGTCCCCTGCCTGTCTCACAGTTACTGCAGCTGGAGATAGGCACCAAGTCCACGTGACCCAGAAAGAAGAAGCAGGTAAAAAAAAAAAAAAGATGGAGCAGCTGAGGTTGACCTTTAAATCCCAGAACATGATGAGGCCAGACCAGAGTCTGGTCTCCAGTGCAGTCTCATGTCAAACACTTTATCATTTTGTCATAAATAAATCTGTTTTCTGCAGGGTTTGTTGCCTGAATAAGAAAGGATGCTAACTGGGAACAGGTAAGTAAAAAAACAAAAAAACAACAGTTTTATTTTAATATGCTGAAGCGTTCGGTGAACGTGTTCATCTGCAGGAGGGATTAGTTTCTTTTTCCAGTTCAGCTCTGTCCAAATGACAGGAAAGGATCTTTTCGTGCAGGGATTCAGGATGAGGTGCAGAGCATCACGGTGTTCTGAAGTGATATTAACAGTCTCGTGTCAGCAGAGGGCACGTGTTGCTGAGCTGGTGTTTGTTTCAGGGGTGTCCCTTCCAAAGGAGAAAACAGAGGCAGCCCATCCACCAGGCAGAGAGGAATGATGAGCAGCTGGTGATGGTGGGCTGTTTGTAGCAGAGGCTTCAGTGCAGATCTAAAAAAACAACAGTTCCAGATGCTCTGTGTTGCACATGACGTTTGGCAAAAGTCACACGAGCAAATAATGTTGGAAGCTTCAAAAGTGCTAAAGTTACGTCACAGTTTTGTGCTCCTGATTCACAGGTTTATGAGGAAGTGAATGTTTGGAGAGATGTGTGGTGAGTTTTGGTGATAATTTGCATCAAACAGAACAAATCAGCAAGTGACAAACAGGAAGACACGGAGCCAGCCTTATTTGTTTTATTGGTTCATAGAACTCGACCCCAAGAAAAAAGAGAAAAACACTTTTTGTACATGTAAGTTATACAATCTGATCTCACAGTAAACATAAACTGGTTAATTAGGAAGGTTGAGGAGTATTAAGTGTAGAACCACTAGACTGAGGAACAGCTTCTACCCTGAGGCTGTTAGACTCATGAATCTCTAACCAGAATAGTCAATGAAAAAAATTCATTGTGAAAAAAAAAAATCACTGTAATGCCATTTTGATTGGTGGTATGTGCTGCTGATTAAACATGCTGCTGACGTCATGCTGCTGATTATTTCATGCTGCTGTATTCATTCATACTCATCTGCTCACAGAGACTCATGCTGGTGCTGATGTTGTTCGGTGTATTGTTTTGCACTATAAGTGTTTAGCATATTTCAGTTTATATCTTAGTTCCTTATTCGCCATTTTTTTTTTCTACAATTAACATTTTTCCTATTTTTGGATGTAACTGGGACCCTGTGTACACGATATTGTTCCACCTCATGTACCACATGTGATGCGAATGACAATAAATCTACTTGAACTTGAACTCCAAAAAAACATGGAGGAAACCTGCAGCACAAATATCATCCCAAACTGGTATTATTTACTATAGGTGTGATTTATCAACAATGTATCATATTTACACCTTTTAAGAAAAACATTGATAACAATTAAAGTTTATTCAATTCAGTTTAAAATGTATTTCCCAAGGATGCACCAAACACATTTTTCTAATCAAGCTGAAGTATTTATAATCGAGTACTTGCTTATACATTGTACTGATACATGCATTATCAGGACAAAACAATCAATTGAGGCACAATGAAAAAAATACACATAAAGTAAAATAAACTAAACATATCTGTTTTACATTTGATTTGTGTTACAAATACAATTTTTGTAGAACATCATCTTCTTGGTTGCCGATATGTTTGTAGACATTTTGTTTAAACTTTATTTTTAGCTTTGATTTTACTCTGGGGGTGGGGAGGGGCGGTGTCACATATGGAACGCTACACATAAACGAGTGGTTCCGGAAACAGCCGAGCGCAGCCGACACTTCCCGATGAAAGAGACGGAGTGAGAGTGGAGCAGCAGAGACGAACAGGACTCGAACAGGATCCACTGAAGTCTCTCTGAGGGTTAGAACCTGCGCTACCGAACCGGAAGTACTGGCTCTAAGACTCTTTGGGTTTTTAGGAACTCTGCTTCTCTTCTTCATCTTTTCTGATGTCAAATGTCCACAAAGCCCAGGACCATGGTGAGTCCAAATCTGAATACTTCTCGTGTGAGCGTGCGAGTGTGGTGAGGGTCTGTCAGAGGACGAGAGTCCAAGTCCCTGACAAGGTCCGACGGTCCAGAACTTATTCTGGACTGAAATCAGAGCTTTCAGGGCAGGGAAATGACAGAAATATTCACATATTTATGGGGTTGACAGCAGTTATACACAGATTTAGTGAAAGTGTTTTTATTTTGTTTTTTTGTAGATGATTATTCTGAAAAGAAAAAAATATATATATTTGACAAACTACTGATGTTTTATCCACTTCACTGCATCAGGGTTCTGTGAAGACGCTAATGTGATATATATATATATAT